GGGTATAGGTGCATCTTCCATTTCTTCCCTGTCATTTTCAAGCACCTGGTATGGATTAGGTGTAAAAAATGGAGATTCCATTTCTTGTGAAGACGTACTTGGCAGTGGTTGAGACACAGATACTTGAGTGTTCGCTGGAGGAGTTCCGGGGGGTGTTAATCGCTTACTACGACGTGTTTTCTGTTTAGGCGATGAATTACGAGGGGTAGAGCCAACTGAATGGGACCTCTTAGTTGACATTACTTGGTGGTAATATCGCATATATAAAAAAAAAGAAAGGGGGAAAAAAAAAAAAATAAAACTACGTCTGCGTGTTATTATGATGGATGAACCGCCGACTGTAGACCAGTCAGTTACGTGGCTGGGCCACAACTGGAGTGGGGAGCCGTCAGCTGTTATGGTTATAGAGATAAGGCTATAGACGCTAAACCACTAAATTCACTTTCTGTAATAGTACACAGTAAATAACAACACTACTCACTGTGGTGTTAGTCCATTGTTGTTGTTTTGATGTCTGCTTAACTAGTTTTTTTTTTTTTTTTAAGTAAAACTGAGCACTTATTCTACTAAAAAATAGTAAAACTGTGGGACACGACGTGAAATGTGGGTATTCTAATCAAGCGCATGCGCAGAACTCTGGGCCTTACATTAAAATAACAGTAGCCCGTAGCTCAGTTTATTTCATAATAGATAAAAGCGTCAAGTATCAATTTTTACATTATCTTACTTTATGAAAATAAAGTGCTTAAAGTATTAGTAAACAGGCAATAAAAATAAATTACTTAAGGTCAGTTTTCAAAAAGTAAAAAAAAAATCCTGATCATGTTTCCTCTTGAACATTATATTTGTTTTTTAAAAGACTGAACAAACTTTTTTTTTTCTCTAGTCTTTTAATTTTCAATCATATATGATAAATTAATTAGTTGACATATTGGTCAGGGAAAATTTCATTAAACAGGAAATTTCACTCTGAAAATTTGGTAGCCACCCTGTTTGATCTGTAAAGATCCTTTCAGAGTTGATCTTAAGCCTTTCTACTTGCAGCTTAAGCCTTTCTCCTGAATGATTCATGCTGCATTCAGGAGCATAATTTCTCTATAATTTTGGCATTGGGTCTTATCCCCTTTTTTAAAGATAGACAAGATCAATCCAAAGCACCAACTATTATGCATTCTCTCATTTTTCCATCTTTTATCTTTTATCTTCTAACTATGTTTATATAAAAAGAAATTATGTCTTTTTGTCTGTCTGTTTGTTCTTTATGCATTACTAAACCATTCATCCAATCGCCATGAAACTTTGAGAAGTTGTTCCGTATGTTTTTTTTTTGTTCAAAGCCGCAAAAAAATGTGTCGCTATACACTGTAGCGCCAAAACAGCTTTAACAATTTTAACGAAACTTGGCTAAAATCTTCCTCTTGAAACCCTTTAATTTATATGTATAACATACTTTCCCGAAACAAGCTGAAAAAATGTTACGATGAATTCAATATTTTATTTGCTGATAACTAAAAAAGTACAAAATTTTTGATTGATAATACCCATATTTATTTGAAATATTCCTGAATTATTTTATTTCGGAGATAAGCGTTATCTCCGAAATAAAACAATTTCTAGCAGCCATTAAGTAGTATGATACATTTCAAATATTTGATTTGCTATTATTTAACTCTTGAATAATACTTATCACCGTTTATGTTCCTTTTCAAAATCAGTTTTTTATTGATTTCAATTGATTTTATTTTTTTAAATAAATTATTTTTTCTAACATTATGTTGTAATAAGGTTGAGCCGTTTACCGTAGGATTTATTTCATGAGTATGGTTTATTTTTCCACTACAATTTTTACAACTTTATATTTAATCAAGTTGTTATTAAGAAGAAGAAGCAAGCAATCAACTATCTTAAGGGGGCTATGCGAAATCTTTTGAGGAAGGTGGAAGGCAGCTCTAATGCACACGAAATGAACGCTATGATAAATGGTATAGCTCAATTTCAATGCATTCCCATGATTGAAATTTGAAACTCTTTAACATTGAAACAGTGGTGTTAATCCACTCATATGTGCTTTCTATTTTCTTTCTTTTCCATTTTGTTAGGCTAAGCCAAAGCAGTGCGTGGCCGGGTAAAGCTAGTGTACTATGAAGTACACCGTACTTCCTTTGATGCAGTAGATCTCTGCCGGTTTTAAAGAGGTCATAGGGAATATTATCTTCTCCAGGGGCATGGTTATTTCTTAGTGAAGCTAGGGTGTTATCAGAATCTGCATAGCAGAGCGGTTCATAGCCATGGTTCTCTACTGTATTCCTACTAAAATCTGGTCCACTTTGTGCTTCTTCTTGAGCTGAGCCATCCACATTAAGAATTTCTTCAAAATGGTCTGCCCATCTTTTAATTACTTTCATATCTTCATCGAGCAGTGCCATTTTTATTATGGCATACGTTCATCCTAGATTAAAACCCATTCCTCATTCACCTGACTGCCTGGTAAAATTTCCTTTCCTCTTTGCTTTCCTTCTATTCTTCGATAGCTTCAACTGTCTTCTTCATCCACTCTTTCTTCTTTTTGCAGTATTCTTTTCCTATTTTTATTCTTTTCATCGATGGTTCTTATGAATTCTTCTTCAAACCACTCGCGATTTCTTCCTGAAAATTTCTCACCTAATATTTCCTAGTTAATTATTTGTAATGCATCTTTCGAACAACTCTACGCACTCTCTATGTTGTCTCTTTGTTTTCTTACCTGTAATTTTGTGCTTAGTGCCTCTTGAAAACTTTCTTTCACTTGTTCATTCCTGAGATTTTTGAGATTCCTTCACACTCTTCTTAGCCTGCTACCTTCCTGCACTTTACTCAATCTATGTCTGAAGACATCTCTTACTAAGAAGTGATTTGAATCGCTATTTGATCCTCTATAAGCTCTGATGTCAATTATACTAGAGGCACTTCTAACAGAGGCAAGTAAATGGCCGATTTGATTGATGGTTCCGCCTGCTAGCACTTTCCAGGTGCCTAAATGGATGCTTTTATGTTGAAAAGTCATGCTCTTAAATATATATTACCTTGATGCTGCAAATTGTGTAATATGATGCCCATTTTCGTTTGATTTGTCATATAGGATAAAAATTCCCTCTACTCTTAAATAGCTTTCCTTCCCTATTTGAGCATTTAGATCTCGTAGTATAATAATTGTGTCGTATCCAGGGATACTATCACAGTCCCTCCTGCATCATGAAAAGCGTGCCTAATGCATCATTAAAAGTCTGCCTAATGTATTATTAAAAGCATCCTTTTCCTTATCAACCTTTTCTTCAGCAGCCACATGGACCGACAGTAGTGTCAAGTTCCTACACTTTCCTTTAAGCCTCAGTTTCCATACCCTGCCATTCATAGTTTTGTTACTCAATATTGCTTCTGTCTTGTCGCTGCTGTAAATGAGGGTGTATTCATCTAATCGTCCTTCGGTCGACCATGTAATTTCTTGGAGCGCTGTCTCATCTATTTTGTATTTCATTAATTCATTGAAACTGATCATTTTTTCCAGCTGCAACTTGGTCCTGATGTTCCGTTCCATGTAGCCATGGTTAAATCTTTTTGTTTATTTCACTTCATACCAGGGTTGTTACCATTCGATCCATCCGACTTTCGAGTAATGGTATTTGGTAGTAATTCGACTAATAATCCGACTTTGTATTGGTTTCGAGTCTCGTTACCATTATGCTTTTTCTAAGAAGAGGGTTTGGCCCCTCACTAGACCTTCATTCCAGGAGGCCCGGTGACATTGATTTTGAGGCGTCTCCCCTAAGGAGTTGGCTTCATCACAGCTTTAGAGTGCTCTCTGCTCTTTCGTAGTAGGCAAACTAACTCCTTAGAAGGTTGACTCCTATTTGAGCTTATCTGCTACTATTTCTTGAGAGTAAGTCCTGCTTCTGGATTGCTCAGCTTAACAGGGCTCGCCACAAGAAGGTGATAGTGGAGTTGAGGTGGAGAGGCTATATGAGATGCTTCACACCTCCTTGAGTCCCTTAATTATTTCATTATTGATTTACAATTTTGGGTTATTTTAAGTTTTATTTCTTATTGAAGACCTTGTGGTTTGCACTAATATAATACACCAGTTAACTTAACAATATATATAAAATGGATTCATAATACTAAAAACTCTATACATCATACATATAATATAAGAGCTGTCTTCAGACATAGATTGAGTAAAGTGCAGAAAGATAGCAGGCTAAGAAGAGTGTGAAGGAAACTCTATATAATCTTCATACTCTGATATAGCCCTGATAACTGTTCACAACTACATTTCTTCAGAAAGAATCTACTTTGTAACAACTTGACTTCTGAACTGACTGATTGATTGCCTATAAACAACTGAATAACTTTACATCAAAGTAAACTTAACTATCTATGTAACCTCTTACTTTATGTAGTTACTTTTCATACCTTCCAGATCGTTCGAGAATCAACTAGATTCAGTATTATCTGAATTATTTGAGTACTTGATATTTTTATGACTTTATAAATATAAAACCATTATAATATTAAATTTAATGTTATAGAAATTACAGTACTTACAATTTTAATTATTGTTGTTGCTTAAAAAAGAAATGTTAAAAATAATTAAATTTGACTAAAAATTGGAAAAATCGCCACAATCTATGTATATAATATCATATTGGAAAACTGAAAATTTTAGAAAAATAATATATGATAAATAAAGTCGTTGAAACAATGGAGAGTGGTGAAAAACTAATGACTTATAATTTCTATTTTCATATTATTAAACTGAAACTATATGTTTTCATGCATAACTAACTGCAATCTTCATAGAAACTAAAAGCCAACTTTTATTTACAGAAATGTCAAACTGCAAAAAAAAAAAATTTACTATTGTGACAAAAGATTTGAAGAAGTAGAGAATTTAAATACATTTATAAATTACTCTGTTGAATTATGCCCCAATATTTATAATGAAATATGTGCTTAATTTTTAGGTCGTAAGACTAGTCCCTAGCCAGATGCAATTACAACAAATTCAAACCTCGGGTCCTACATTTATTGCTGTTCCTTCACCAGCTGCTTCACGAACCACCCCTCCCCCTCCTACTCCATCTGCAATAGCTATCAAGAAGTTAAAAAAGAAAAAGAAGGATAAAGAAGAACCAAGACTCGACTTGGCCAACCTCATTAAAATATCAGGTAAGATATATCTATTATATATTATTATAACATCTATTTTCAAAATTTAAAGAAATTCAAAGTAAATAGTTATTGGCCTTAGTTCCTTATTAAAGATCTTACTTTGACATTAAATAAGATTTTCATTACTCTGATTCATTTAATATTAAGAAAGCCATAGACTAATCTGACTAACCGAGTACTTTTAAGTTCAAGCAAATTTATATTAAAGATGAGGTTAGATTTATTGATGTTGATATGTCAAATATTTATGTCCGTTAATACATAAATTATAGAAAATTTGTATGCCATGACATATTCATTTCTGACTACTCATTACTGTAACTTTTTTTCTTTATTAAATCACTCATTAATTAAATTTGTGTATTCCAAAGTTTTTTTCTTCTTTTTTTTATTAGTATTAACATTTACTGTTGTTAAATTCATGATTGTTTTATGAATTTGTCATGACTATTATATATTTAACTTTAATGCTATTTTAAATTACATTTTTGAATGAACACTGAAATAGTTTTATTTTCGGGTCACAGCCGCTTGGCGAACCAAAGGTAATGCATAATTTTCTTAACCTCAGTGTTAGGTATAAGAAAACATAATTTAAAAATCAGTTTATTATTCGTTTAAAGTATCTTTTTTTTTACTTTATAAAAAAATGTATATTTATTTCAATTGAAAATAGATGTATACTAAGCATGAAATCTTTGTGAACAGAATTAAGCTAAGCAGGTGTGTTTGTGTTTGTCTGCACTTTGTATGTTTGTAAATAATCAGCTTTTCCACTGATATAATAGTTTAATTTTAATGTTAATTTTATTAAGTGAGAATGAAAGTTTGCTTATATTGTAATCCTTGTAGTTTCTTAAATATTTTTGTGGCTTATTTAAGATGTTTTACAATGTTTATTTGTGTGCCTAAACAAGCAGCCACATATACAAAGCATATTTATCTATATTATTTAAGCTTAATATCAAAGTGCAGTTTGATTAAATCATTTACCAGGCTTAACTTAGTTTTTTTATGGTTATTATTATTGTTATTATTTTTCTTATACCTATAAAAAATCCTTTAAATAAAATTAATGTTTAATAGATTTATAAATATTTTATATGTAATGATTACTTTCAGACCTCATTTTAATACTGAGTTTATCTTATGTTTGTGTCAATGTTTCTTTCACAATGATGTGATTCTCTCTGCACTGTTCTGGCACGTGTAGAGAATGTTGCATGGTGTTAATAGATAAAAAGTTGAGATATATTACAATAATGGGCTTTAGCCAATACTTCTTGACAAGAAAGATAATATCTTACCATTAAAAATTTCATCTTTTTAAGTTCAATATTTATTTCTTCTTGATAACAGTTACTAGAATTATTGAATTACTCATTCAGTTAGATGTAATGCTCTTTAAACTACTGATTTTACTACATCTTATTTCTTTTTTTGATCCAGTGGTACTAAAATTGACTGCAGGATTTGCTTATTCCTTTCTGCCTTAATCTATACCATGTTTGCTTTTTATGATGACTTTTATGTTTGTCTGGTTTTGTGTTACTTATGGCTTAACCAGTTTTATTTTCTCTTACTCATATATGAAATTTTTAATTTTTAAACCAGGTTTTCAATGAAAATATATGTTCTGAGGTCCGTCCTCTGTGTCCAATTCTTCTATATATAACAGGGGTCTCCAAACTTTTTGGCCCGTGAGCCACATTGAAATCTTGACTAAGTTCTGCAGGCCATGGCTTATGATAAAAAAATCTTGTTCTAAAAATGATACTTCAGTTTTGAAATTATCTTTCTAAGAGAAATAAAAAAGTCTATGCAATAAACGTTGTAACCTCATGTGTGAGTGATTTGCTAAATTTCATATTTTTTAATATATTTACCATATAATCAAAGAAACTTTTGCGGGCCGGATGGAAGATGCTTGCGAGGTGGATCTGTCCTAGTTTGGAGACCCTTCTTTTATAATAATCTCTTAAATTCTTAAAGGCTTTATATATATATATATATATAGTTTATATATATACTTTATATATATATATATATATATATATATATATATATATATATATATATATATATATATATATATATATATATATAGTATAGCCACTCTCAGTAGGAGACAATGCTCTATTGTGTATACACTTGCACTCTGCATCGTTCTCGATCAGAGTGTCCTATATTCGTTGGGATTGTTAATTTCAGCAGGAGATTCCCAAATCTTCAATTGTAATTTTTAAGTGTTGTTGTATGTTTCTTTCTAAACATATATTATAAAGTACAAATGTTTTATGATATGATCCTAAGAAGTAGATTTATTTATATAAACATTAATAAGTTTAATTGCAGTATCTTTTGACAACTTTATTCTAAAAACCAATAATATATTATTTATGTTTAAAAGAAGTTTAATATTAGAATAATATATATATATATATATATATTCTATTATGATTTTCGGGCAGTTTATATTAAGAAATATATCCTTTGTTGGATTATTATTATCATTGTTATTATTATTATCATTGTTATTATTATCAATGAATAACAATTTGAATTATAATTTTAAAATATAATACTTACTGGAAGCTAAATACAGTTGTTGGAATACAAAGGCTAGACCATAAGTACAGTTAAAATTTTCATTTCACAATATTCTTTAAATACTACCATAAACAAAACAGTAAAACTGCAGACAGGCTTCACATAGAACCTGAACTCACAGAGTCATGTCCTCAAGTATTTGTTTCACTTTTCAATCGATATTTCACTATTAACCAACTAACAGAATGTGGTAATTATATAAATGCAGTAATTTGCTGTAATTAAAAATGCATTAATTTGCAATAATTATACATGGGATACTCAATAAGTATAAATTTCCCCCAAACTCAACAATATATACAGCAGAATTGCAGGCTATTTCTGCAGTATTTATCAAGAAATATAGAAAGCTCGAAAATAGTAATATGTTCTAATTCAATCTCTGTCCTTCAGAGTATAGCAAACTTCAATATAACCGGACCAAAAATAAACAGAATTCACCTATTTATCGAAATTATAAACAATCCTAATAAAAGTATAATTTTTTCTGAACTCCGGGATACCAGGAAATGAAGCAGTGGATAAAACTGCTAAAGAAGCTGCTCATATGAATATCCCACCTCTCCAAATATATGAGCCAAGTGATATAAAAACATTGCTAAAAGACAGAGTATGGAAAATTGGGAATCCATATGGAATGAAATTCCACCTACTAATAAACTTAAAATTATAAAAAAAGTACAAAACAGTAAGTGCTGGAAGAGGAAACAGAGAAGAAGTGGTAGTGATGAGGTTGAGAATAGAATTAGTCATACTAACCTGACTCATGTTCATTTAATTACAAAAGAGGCCCAACCATATTACTATACCTGCCAGTCCCCGCTAACTATATAGCATATAATAGAAGATTGTACATTACTACATCAAGCCTTTGTAAAAAACAAAATAACCCATTGTAGAGAACTACCATTAAAAGACAGTATATTCAATAGAAAAATTATAAAGCTTTTAAAACAAACATAATTGTACCATAAAATATATAATTAATGCAATACATGAAAAGAAACAATAAATTACTTATAGTGTTATTTATTAAAATATAAACGGAATATAACTGCATATATATATATATATATATATATATATATATATATAACATTTTAGGTAGCAACCTCCAAATATAATTGTAAATTTATACATTCATTAATATAAATTAAAAATAACACCATAGCTCAAGGTCATAGTAACCAAGTTGTTGATCGCCTAAAACAACTCATAACTTAACCAACTAACTGAACTGCCAATCTGGCTTAAGTTTTTATAGCCCACAGGACATTCATGGCAGAACTAGAAAATTCCCTCTTTATCATATTGGTTGACAGCGGTGATGGGTTTTAATTACTTCAATCTTTTGAATAATTTTTGCTATATTTACATGTTTGACATACAAAACCATTAACATTTAATTAGTATGATCATTACTTGAAAAGTAAAAATTAAATTTTCAAGTAATACCCATAAAATCACTACAATATTAATACATTAACATCAATATATTATTTATTGATATATTTATGTTACAAATTTTATCTATGACTAGATTTTATTTGGACTATGATCAGAAGAAAGGTCATACAGGGATTTGATTATGGCTTGGGAAGAAGAAATCTGGGAGGTGATAAATACATCCAGGATATTGGGATGTTGGCTAGAAAGTAGGATTCATGGGCGAGAGGACAGAATAACTGTCGGAGGATGAAACATGTGAAAGGATGTTACCACGGGAATTCGATGTTCGACAAACCCATCGTTGGTGTTTACCATTGTAGTCTCTTCCAGCAATAAAGCGCGATTCGAGGGATTGGAATAAGGAGTCAAGAAGGTGTTAGGTGGAAAGGGCTAGTTGTAAGGATTACAGATGTTGATTGAATAGTATCAGATGGAATGGAAGGAATAAGGGAATGAGATAAAAATTTATGTATAAGGATGCAAGAACCGGCATGGGAGATGTTGTCTGGGTGGTCAGATCTATAAGTGATGTAGTCACGTCACGTATGTAGAATTTTGTCTGTTTAATAAAGTGAGTTTCAGTCAGTAAAGTAATATCAATATGATTGTCATGAAGAAATATATCAAGTTCGTCACAGTGGTTATGTAGTCCATTAGCATTCCATAAAAGGATAGCTTAGGGGCTTTGCACCCATTGTGGAAAATTAAAAGGAATTCCGGTGAGGATTCTGGTGAGAAGGGTGATAAGAGGTTTTATGGTCTCATGTAGATCTAATAGAAAGGATGAAGGATAGTATTTATGTCAGTTGGGTGTTGGTTATAGAGTGGATTTGGATTAGAAAGTTGTGGTGGATGATCAAGTTGCTTTGGAGTGTCAACTGAGAGCAGGATCCGTTGTTGTGAACGAGGAAGGTACTTGTGAAGGGAGTTTTGTCTGG